TCACTATCTTCGGGAAAGTTCTAAATGCCTGTTCCATGCTGTAAATTTCCTCTACGCTGCAGCGTATCGACTGTCAGCTGCCTGAATTCCCTTTGAGAAAATTCCAGTAGTTGCTGGAATCCAACTTCAGGGTGGAGATTGGGTCAAGATTCCAAACGTTTGGTAAGGAAAGGCTCCTGTTAGCTGAGGGACGTACCACGGAGGCAGCGTGACCCGTCTGGGCATGGGCTCTGGCACTATACCCAGTGGTTTCTGTGGAGCTCCTGGAGATCTTGAGGAGTTCAGGACAGTTGTGCTCCTGGAAATACATTCTCTCATCACTTTGCTACTGAAAGAGAACAAATTCTCCCTAATTATTTTCTCCTTCTGCCTTTAAAAATACCACTTCAGTTTTACAACATTTCATAAAGCTCCAGAGACTCAGCTCCAGTTAATTGCTCACTGACACTCCTGATATGAGCCCAATAATTTTACTTTGTGTGTTTAAACTAAATATACACACACAATGAGAGACCCACCGCGTTTGGGGATCTCTCCCACCTGAAATCCAGGTGACTCCGCCCGCAGCACCGCCCGCCTGAGGGCCACCACCTGCAGGCGGGCTGCACTCCGGTCATTCGTATCAGGGAAGGCAGAAGGGGGAAGGTTTGAGGGGGCCGGTGACACCCGCAGGCTCCCCAGAAGGAGCAGATGGTCTCCAAGAAAGTGTGAGAGCGGGACTGAGCTCAGCGGAGCTGCTCCCCCTCCATGAGGCTCGTGCTCACTGCGCGGAGAAGGGGGCGCCTGCATGCTGAGGACACTCCCCGACTGGTAGGGTGTCCTTGGGCTGCTAAGGGGGCAGGGCCGGGAGCTGGGGCCAGAGTGGGTGCACAGGGAGCACCGGGCGGCTGCGGCAGAGGCCCAGTCGCAGGCCGACAGCAGCCGGGTCAGGGATTAGGAGCGTTTCTCATTTAGGAAAGAAGCGTGGCCCCTCAGGCAAGCCCACGCACACGGTGATCACGCGGTGGCGGGGCCGCGTCTGTCACCCCCAGAAGGAATCTGCCCTGGACAAGCGCCCTGGGCAGAGGTGGGGGAGGAGGCTCCCTGCACGCCCAGCGGTGACGGCAGCAGAGCCTGACCCTTCTGCCTCCCACGTCACCCCATCTCCGGGCCCCCAGGCAGCTTTCAGGAATCCAGGTGGACGCCCGGTGGATTCCCGAGCCCTGCCTGCTGGCCGGCCCCTGGCCCGAGCCGCCTCCGGCTGCCCTTTCCCTGGAGCCGGCGTCTGTGCTCCCAGCTCAGGCTGCCCCCCCCCCCCCCGGCCCTTCCGCCTTCCAGTTTCCTGGCTCCGCCCCAGAAGAGCCACCTCCTGCCGCCCCGTCCAGCCCAGTCCCTCAGTCCAGCGTGTGTCCAGCTGAGCAGCACCTGCCTGGGGGAGAAGTCAGGGGACTTGCAGGAACGGACCAAACTAAATCGCAGGGAGTGGGGCAATGTGTGTCCGCAAGTGGCAGATGAAATAAATGAAGCCATTCGTGGCGAAGTGCCGACCACTGTTTGTCCTGCAGGTTATTTTTAGGTGAAAATCACTTCTCTGTGCCTCGCAGCTGTAGTCCGGGTTAGTCTGTGCCCGGGGAAACGCGCAGGATCAAAGCCGCTCCTCGAACCGAATGCCCTGACGCTGGCATCCTCTCAGCGCCCCGGGCCGAGGGGCCTGTGCTTGTCTCTGGGAGGCTGGCAGGACGGCGGCAGCGGGCAAATGCGGGGTCCATCTCCCCCAAATACAGGTTTTAAAAGGAGAGCGTCTCACCGGGTGAGTGTTTCCCAGGGACGCTCAGCGAGTGGTGGACACGGTGGGGGAGTGTCAAAAGCAGCGTGACCCTGAGCTTGGACAGAGGCTTTTCTTAGCTGCGTTTCCTCTTTAGAAGCGTGAGTTCACTGGGGAGGCGGCCCGGCCAGGCGCTGGGGCTCGGACCTTCAGGGCGGGGGTGGATGCGATCGGGGCTAGTGCCTCTGGGTCTCCTCCGGACCCCCCGCTCCTGGGAGGGCTTCAGTCCAACATGACGCCCCCACAGGCGTCCACTTTGTGCACGGAGGTGGCTTGCTGGCGGCTGCTCCCTCTTCACTCTCAACGGGCAGTCTGGACGCGGCTCATCACCTGTCACCCGGCAGGATGTCCAGAGAGTATCCCGCAGGGCGTCCAACAAGGCTGTCGGCGCTGCCCTGGGAAACACAGTTCTTCGATTTTGCATATTTTAGTTTGCCAAGAAGCCTTGCAGACCACTGGGTGCAAGGACAGAGCCTGGGGCCAGGTTCCTGGGGCAGTCAGTGTGGACGGGGTTCAGGACCCAGCAGGGTGACCCGTAGCCTGGCCAGAGACACACATAAGCCCTAGTCCTCGGGGGTCGGGGATCCCTCTCCAGGGGGCCTCTTGGCCTGCTGATTTCAGAGAACAGCTCCCCTGACACGGAAGGGCGGCCGGGCCACCGGGCCTTCTTTGTTTTCGAGGCTGCGCAGATGGCAAGTGAGCACCTTGGGGGGCCCCCAAGAGCCAGGGCCATCCCTCTGCCTTCCGCACAAAGGCCGGGGTTCCCACTCTGTTTATGTTCCCCCAGGCGCATTAGGGTTTCAGGAAACAAGCAAGGTTTCTCTCAAAAGCATCAGTGACTGTCTCCAGGGCGCCGGCCGTACCTGCTGGACACCTGGCCAGCCTCTGCCCTCGGCCTGGGAGCCACAAGCTCCTTCACGGGGAGCTTGGTGGGGGCCGTTGGTGGGGCTCAGCGCCGCCCCTCCAGCTCATGTTCACTCCCAGGCACCGAGCTCGGCCTGCCCAGGGAAAATAAAAATTTCAGATGAAAGGCGTTATTTATAGCAAATGCAAAGCATCATTATTATCAATTCTTGTTACAAAATACACAGAAAAGACATCCTTTTTGTCATTTAAATACGGCACGGTTACACCGAGAAATGGTACAGATGTTAATCCAAGCCTCTCAGCTGCATTCTGGGTAATCATTATTATGTTTTATTCTCATTTGGAATTACTAGTAATAGAGCGTGTATTTCTGTATGAAATTCAAATCAGGGAACACCAGTGAATTGAAATGATTGATATTACACACACACGCACACACACACGCACACACACACAATTTTGGACGTGGAACTACGATAGAACTTTCTCACTCAGAGAAAACTCTACCAAGCTTGCTGCTCTGTTAGAGAATTTGATGCGTGACGTTTGTCACGTCACTAGAGGTGTCAAAACCCACGTGACTCCCCACAGCCAAGTTGCCCTGACCCTTGACCAGAATAAAAGCATGTTTTGAAAACACGTCCACGGCTGTCGTGCATCTGGAGTGCAGCACCTGCATTTGGACCTATTTGGCTTGGACCACACGTGTCCGGTAGCTCTTGTTTCTCTCTCGCGTTCCTTGCTTTTCTTTTGTGCCCTTTGAGAAATCCTTCGTCTCTCTAATTCCCATTCCCGGGCGTGGCCTCCGACACCAGTGAGGAGGGGGTAAGAGAGTCCGTGTCCGTGCGGCCCCGTGTCCGTGCACACTTGTGCAGGGCGGTCGGATGCTCGGCTGCTCTCCCATCTCAGCTGCCCGACACCCCGGCCCCCGCCCCGTCCTGGCACTGTGGGGTGACAAGCTGGCCCCAGGGGCCACGGGGCTCGTCCCAGGTGCTGGGGTCCGCGGCTGGCCTGGGCAGGGACGCCAGCTCCTGGTCGTCCCGCCTCGCGCAGGGGCCAGCCGCCCGCCTCTGGAGTGACACACAGCAGCTCGCTCACCCCGTCTGCCCCCTCTTCCCTCCCTCACGCCACTGTGTGGCTATTTTAAGGTATTTAGGTTAAAATCCCTTGACCCAGGCATGGCCTCGTCCCCCGAATCAGCTTCATTCTTGCCCCGCTGAGTGGCCTGAGCGAACGCAGCCTCTTCCTACCACCGTCCATAAGGGCCTTTCTCCGAAGGCTCTCTGGGCGCGCGTCCATGTCACGCCTTCCAAACGGAGCCCGTCTCGGAGAGCGTGGACAGCCACGGCCCCTCTGTCCGGGAATTTATTTACATGTAAGTCAGCTGATGGACGGCACTAAAAAGAGAAGAAAATGACTCTAAATTGCACACGTATCCGTCGCCTCCCGTGTGTCAGCTGACGCACATGGTCTGCTGGACACGCAGAGAGGGACGTCCTTTGCTGCCCACACCCGGGGTGAGGGCGGGAAAGAAAGGGGGACACTCACTTGATAGGAAGCGAGGTGTCCCGGGAGACACGACTCACGGCGTGTGTTGGGGGAAGATGGTGACAGGGCTGGCTGGGCAGCAGGAGACGCAGACTCAGCCCCGAGGGGAGGCCACGTCACGGGCGCGGGCAGGTGGCCCCTCGACAGCATCCGGTTCCTCTTGTCGGGGCAAGAGTGTCGGGGCTCGGTGGTTTGGCACGGCTGCCCCTCCGCGGTGGTGGCTGGGCTGCGCTGAACGTGGGGCCTGCAGCTGCCACTGGACTCATGGGTGGGTGGAGTGGGGAGTGTCCAGGTGGGGGGGGCAGCGGGGCCTCTCCCTGGCTGAGCTGAGACGCGTGACTCGACGTGGCGCTTTGTCACCTGCTCAGGCCCTCCGGCGCTCTGCTGCCTCAGGGCAGCCTTGCTGTGGCATCGCTGAGCCATGCCGTCCACTGTGCTGGCCCTTCATGGGGCAGAGATAGAGCCAGAGGCTGGCACTGCTGGTGACGGCAGCTCCTGGGGCAAGGGGGACAGAAGGAGTGACCCCACTTGGAGAAGAGAACAGGGGAGTCCAGCCGCCCATGTCCGACGGTTGGAACGGTTGGGTAAAGCTCAGTCGTGGACACACAATCAGGCGTCCATGCCCCGCCTCACCGTGACCCGCGTGGCCAGCCTGGGGGGTCCCTGCAGGGCGGGACGGAGGCCTGGCGTGTCCTGGGTCCATGCGAGTTCGCATGTCTTCCTCGTGGTGTGTTGTTCCCCGTTGGGCAGCGGCTCTTCAATCCCTTTGTTCTCGTTGCAGATGACCACTCGCCGCGCGGCCCGGTCTTCCTTCAAGAGCCAAGTCCCATCATGTTCCCTCTGGGCTCCGAGGAGAAGAAAGTGAAGCTCAGTTGTGAAGCTAAAGGGAACCCCGAGCCTCGTATCAGGTGTGTTGGCGCGAGGGTGCGTGTGTCCAGGCTCGGGGTCTGTGTTGAAAGACCGACGCTGAGGGGAGAGCGGTCACCGGGAGGGCCTGTCCAGGCGCCTCAGGGCCCGGGAAGCCGAGGGGAGAATTGCTTTCGGGCACAGGCAGGCCCCGGCTGTGACCTGAGTATCCTGATTGACCCCTTCGCTCAGTTTGAACCTCACTTAGCGACATATTGTTAAAACGCCATTTCAGAAACCTCGACACGCTGGCCGGGAAGTAGGAGATACTCGGAAGCCAGAAATAAGTGGGTTGGGATCCGGACCCCAAAAGCAATTCTCACCTAGATGAACTATGTGGACAGGAGCCCGGTGCTCGCGGCTTCGCGGGGCCTGGGGTCACAAGACAGAGCTTTGGCTCAGCCTGAGAGTCAGCCCAGCGCCGCGCCCTCAGAGCGCGTAGGGAGAAATCACTTGCCTCCCCAAGGGGCTGTAAACAGAAGCCACTGCCCATCTCAGTCCTTGTCGCTGAGTGGATTTAGTAACAGATGAGACACAGCTGAGCGAAGAACGAGTCCACGCAAGCCGGGGCTGAAGAAACCCTCTGAAGGCAACAGGAAGGGCTGTAGAGAAGCAGGAAATGCGAGAGAAATACAGAGAGAAAATGTCTGCGTTTGTCTAACCAGAACCCCACAAGGAGAGAGAAAAGGAGGCAGTGGCAATATTTAGAGAAGGTTCAGAATTTCCAGAACTAATTAAAACTTTCAAGCTTTGGATGGAGGAAGCCCAGCCAATTTCAAGCAGGAAAGAGAGAAAGAAAGCTTCAGCGAGGCTGATCCGAGGAGAGAGCAGAATATCAAGTCAAAGACACAATCGTAAACACAGACAGAGTCCTCACAGATAACCCGCACCGCCGCGGCTTCCCGGCAGCGGCTGGGAAAGTGAGAGATGGAGATAGAGTTTCCAGCGTGCTGCGAGAAATTAACTGTCAAGCTTCTGTGAGCAGAGATCTTGTTTAAGAGCAGAGCACAGCAAATCTGTTCTCAGGCCGACAGCAAAGTGGGGTCAGAAATTCTGAAAGATCAAGTTTACCCGGAATAGCAATGCCCCTCGGTGGGATATCTGAGGTGCAAGAACGATTAATAATAAGTCAGGTGAGTGGTAAAGATTAGTATTTCTACATAAAAATGGGGGCACTCAGTAAGAATGGTGAAGGGAGCAGTATCCTGGGAAGATAAAATCGAAAATAATACAAGTACGTCGAAAGTCCATGTACTGTCTGGGGCAGAATCCGTGTGGTTTGAGAAAGGACATGGAATTCGGCCTCCAGCGTCCCCAGGTCGAGTCCCCCCCCCAGGGGGTGCACAGCCCCCCCACGTTCCCCACCACCATCCACTGAGCCTGGGTAACCTCACAAAGGGACGTGACTTCAAAGAGAAGCAGGTGGGCAGATTCGTGACTTCGGAGGGAAGAAGAGAGTCCACAGACGGGGCAGGGAAAGGCACGGAATCATGAAGGGAAACACTGACCCCCTCAGTGGGAAGCACTTCTGTTCTGCGGGACGTGAGCGCCGAGAAGAAGGCGGACTCCGGCCTGGAGACGGAGCTTTCAGCACGCGACGTGGCGAAGGAGTCGTAGCCGGAGCGTTAACAGAATCCCCACAGATCCAGAAGGTGAAAGCCGCAGGGCCCGGTCGAGACCCTCAGGGAGGCCGCAGCGGGCACAGCCAGGAGCAGGAGCACGGGGTGGCTGTTAGGCGCAGCCCCCGGGGCGCAGAGAACACCCCGCCTCCTCAGCGACCCAGAGGGCAGGCGCTGGAGGACTCATGTAACGTGTTACGGAGAAACTCGACCCGGTGGGCCCGTGTGAGGCCGCCCGAGAGGGTGGGTGCGGCCTGCGTGAGGGCAGGGACGGGTCTTGAGCGAAACATGCCGGTCCCCGGAGAGCACAGAGCGGATGATTCCAAGTGCACCGAGGGAGCGTGTGCGCTGGCGCCGGACAGGAAGGCCAGGGGGTGACGGTGAGGATTAAAGTCCCCCTGAGCCCTCCAGAGGGAGGGGCGGCACCCCGCGGGCTGGAGTCCAGATGCGCCACTGCGCCTGCCTTAGACGCGCCCTTTGCAAGTGTCCTCCTGGGAACGCCGCCCGGGCCCCGGCTAAGGCGACGGAAACCCCCAGCGCGGGCCGGGCCCGCCAGCACGGCCGCAGGCTCCCGGGGATGCTGACGTGCAGAGAGCGGCTCGGAGGTCGGCGCCGTCCTCGTAGAGGAAGTCGGAACTGAACTTGGTCCCCGTCGTTCGTTCCTTCGTAACGTGTCATTTTTCAGGCCACTTCAGTTTCTCAAACTGAATTTGGGGGTTTGAGTCAACAGTGAGTTCGGTGAAGAATTCCAGTTTCCACCCAAGATTCCAACATGGCGGCGCTGCACCGGCGTGTTTTTTGGGATTCTGAGAAAACTGTAGGGAGTGATGCCTGGTACGTAGCATCGAGGAGCCAGTTTGAGGCTCTTGGAGATGAAGGGCTGTGCGCTGCGGCCTGCGGGGGCGGGGTGTGCGGGCCCTCTCCATGGGGGGCAGTCAGGAGGGTGCCGGGCACCCGGAGACGGAGGTGTCAGGGGGTCTCACAGGACGGGAGATAGACGGCGTCTGGCGGCTGAGGAGAAGAACTGCATTCCAGAAACGAGAACCAGCTCTCTAATGGGCCGTGTAATTGGGGCACATTTGTCACTTACCATCGAAGCCTGGCCCCGAGCGCGGGTGGGCTCTCCTAGTCCTCGTGGGCGGCAGGTGTGAGCCAGCCTGTCCTGGGCAAGCCAGTGTCCCAGCCCCTCTCCCAGGAGCGTGTGGAATTCAAGACCGTGGCAGGTCGCTTTGAAAAGCTTTCTGCAGCGCGGAGTGAATGCAGGAGGCAGAGGTTCCCGCGTGCATAAGTGATGAGTTCAGCGGCCCCGGTGTCCAGCGCGTAGCCGAGTGGAGGTTCGGATGTTAGCCATAAATGAAAACAAATCTTGCAGCAGAATTTGGCAGGTGGCTGCTTTGCTTTTCCCCAAACTGTGACCTTTAATTAACATTGCCTCCGTAACATCATGTTCCCAGATATAGGGCCTTGCTTTGTTATTTAAAACAAGCAGTGGAACAGAAACCTATTATGTTTTTAAAGATTGCCAGAGAAGCCGCAGAGAAAACTTTTAATCAAATGCATTAGCAGTTGGTGGCAGTATATTTTATTTGCCTTTATACCTTTGGCAGTTCCTCTGTAATATAATAGCTGCTGGGTACCCGGGCTCTCAGAATGCCCTCTCGAAGAGGGAGAGAGCCAGCGAGAGAGGGAGCCATCAGCTGCGTTCAGGCCTCTTGGCTGAACTTTTTCAGTCTCCAGCCCGACTTTGAGGCGAGAGCATGCAGGAGGGATGCAAGGCCAGGGCTCCTGGGCTTCGGCTCAGTCTTTCCCACAGACACCCAGCCAGGCTCCTTCTTGGAGTTGATTCCCTCCATGGAGCCTTCTCCTTTCGTTACCCCTCAATTTTGAAATTATTGACTCAGATCCAGAAAAACCTGAGTTTAGACTTGTGCCAGCTTCCCATGTGCCTGCATTTCCTGAGGATGCGGCCTGCCGAGCGCCCGGCGTCCCTTCCTGACAGGAGGGGAGGTCAGTCCCTCGTCATCTGACTTCAACTTGTTTGCAGACGACAACTCCCAAGCCAGATAGGCCCCGCCCCTTTTGTGAGCCAGGTTGAAATGGGGGGTTCAGCAAACCCCATAGGTAGCTTTGCCCCGAGACTGGACCTTCTGGAAGCTTCACTGCTGCTGGCAGTGAAGAGAGCTGGGGTGCCAGTGGTTCCGAAGGCAGCTTATGGGACTCACCAACATGTCGTGGCTCTTGGGAACATCTCTCTGCTCCAAATGAGGATGTTCTCTCTATGCCCGGCACTTAAAACTTTTCTCAAGCATTGAAAATAGGTCCTCCCAGGTGGCCCAGGGGTTAAGTCTCAGCACCATCACCGCTACCTCCTGAGTCCGATCCCCGGCCGGGGAGCTGTCGCACAGGGTGCAGCAGACCTCTCCCGTCTCCCCGCTGCTCCCCGCAGCAGTGGTTTCAGTGGATCTGCCTGTTCTGCTCCCCGCTCTGACTCTGGTGGATTCTCTCACCCCCCTGCACCTTTGGCCTGCACCCCACCCAGTTCTTCTACACAAAAATAAATAAAATCTTAAAAAAAAAACATTGAAAATAGACGGTGAATTTTTCCAGGCTGTTTCAGGGTGGGATAATAGAAGAAATTCAGCACAATCCACATTCAGTTGGAATGAACAGTGACTGCATTGCAGTAAAATCCGGCAGTGCTTTGTGATGGCGACGCGACTGCCTCTCGCAGCGAGCGCTGTTTCCTAAATAACCCCCTCTCCCTTGCTCTCTGTATGTAAAAGCAGGCAATAAAGTAGATGAATGGGCCTTCTGCAGAGCGCTGCGGCTCAGGGGGCCGCACGGCACCCCTCCAGAGGGGCTCTCATCACCCACCGCCACTTCTCGAAAAAGACTCACAGTGTCCCATTCCTAAACCCCACCCTCTGCTTGCAGCTCACATTATATTGCAATTTCCTCTTTGAGTTCTTAGATTTGTCATATTAAATTGCTCCACTATCATTTGAAGTGAGAGTTATGGCCCAGACATGATCAGCTGACTCAAAAGATGTCTCGCGCAGAGCGTCGGCGCTCAAGATTCATGTGCGTGTGCACCTCCGGCGTGGAGCCCGGCTGTTCGCTTTTTATTGCTTATTACTTTCTCCTGCGTGTCAGAATAGAGAGAATCACTGTCGGGCACAGCCGCGGTGTCAGGTCTAATGCCCATCTTCCCGTAAACAAACACGCCGAGAGCCTCGTCCCATCTGCCGCCAGGCCCACCTTTCCTGCTCCTCTTGGGCATCAGCTTTTACGTTTCAAAGACAGGGTTGTGGGGCTCAGCTCTGTGCTGCGCTGGCACAACACACGCCGCGTGTCTGCTGCAGGCACAGACACCTGGCAGAGACGCGGGGAGCACCCCACGTTCCAGGGCGTGAGTGGGGCACGTGTGGCAAGCTCCACGCTGGCCGGCAGCGGGTTACGGGAGTTAGGGCAGCCCCTCCCCCTGGGAAGGCGCCCGTGTTAAGGAGCAGGGAGACGTCTGGGAGGGGACTCTGGTTCCTTCTGGCTAGGACCAGGAGCCGCGCTTCCCTGGGGAGGGCCTGGTTCACGCTGACGTCGAAGCGTGAGGGAGAAAGAAGGAGTCGCTGTGCTCCCAGCTGCCTTGTGGGTGCCAGAGGTAGAGTCTGGGCTCTAGCTGGCTGGCATGTTTTCATTTAAATCCCCTCTTGAGGTGCCCCCGGCCACGGGGCCCAGTGCAAGCCGGGCTGTCTCAGCATCTGAGGAGATGGGGTGGTGTCTGCATCCTTCCCCCCGCCCCTGCTCCTGAGGACGCTCCTGTACCCCGCACACGTGCCACACGTGCCCCACTCATGCCTTGCTGCTCCTCCCCCCATCAATGCCACCGAGGGGCTGTTGATGGCCAGGAGCTCCTCTGAGTGGGATTCGGGCTAGTGGGGGGCAGATTGTGTTAGCTCCAAGTTCATACGTATTCCAAGGACTTCCTGGAAGGTGGTTGGGTTGAGACAAGCTCTCTTGGGGATGTTCTTGACTGTGTAAAAAAAGTGGATCTTGTTACGAAAGCTTTGCTGTTTGAATGTGTGAGCCCCGCTGCAAGGGATTGATTGGACCAAACGCCGTGGAGAGATGCGCTGACGAGCCAGGCCAGCAGAGGAAAGAACACAGAGCCTGCCTCTGCTGCCAGCGCCTGCTGCACAGCTCGCCCACGGCCCGTGCACGCTGGGGGCCGGGGAGGACGTGGGTCAGGCTGGCTTGGCCGGAAGACGCTCTGGGCTGGCCGCGGTCCTCTGCTTCGCAGTCCGCCTCCCGTCACACTAAGGGCCGAGTCACAGCAAGTCCTGCGATTCCGTCAGGTGCTCAGCAAGACCCTTGGAAGCTCGTGTCTGGTCATCCCTCAGGCCAACCAAAGAGTGACCGCAGAGTCCACTGGGAACTTGTATCACGCTGCCCTGTTTGAAGACCGTTGCAGGGGTGCCGTGGGATTCCAGAAGCAAGGAGACGTGTCTGCAGCATCACAAGTAGTGGCAAAAAAGGTGTTTCCATTTGAACACCATCGTGTGCAGGAAAGAACGTGCTCTGTCCCTCAGCACGTGAGTGGTCACCGGGGCTGACCCGAGTGCACCTCACCGCCCCCTCCCCGGGTTAAAGAAAGTGGCCGATGATGTTTCATGCTATTTATTGTTTTTATGTATTTTAGACAATTCAGAAATGTTGATGAATATTACAAGGCTTTATCTACTGGCATTTTTATGCTATAGGTGGAAGTTAAATGGAACAGATGTTGACACTGGCCTGGATTTCCGCCACAGTGTCGTTGAAGGCAGCTTGTTGATCAGTAACCCCAATAAAACCCAAGATGCTGGGACGTACCAGTGCGTAGCAACAAACTCGTTTGGAACAATTGTTAGCAGAGAAGCAAGGCTTCAGTTTGCTTGTAAGTAGCAATTCAATCACGCCGCAAATGTCACTCTGAGTTTTTGTACTGTTATACCATAAGCCTCTGAAATAGTCGCTTTTAAAAAACCAAACACATTTTAATTTGTTATGTGATCTTCTTTACCCTTTTTTTCACAGACGGGAATGATGTGTGTAGGATGCCTTTGTCAATCTGGGTGGGAAGATGTGCTCTCTGCTCTTACCAGGAGGGACATGGTTTGATTACAGACAATCTGGTTATGTGATGGTGTCCGCATGCAGAAAGCCACACATACGATCGTCGCTGTGCAGCAGCACACACACAGCTCAGAGAATGTCTTAGCAGGCAGTGGAACTGCCTCTCATCTCAATCAGTCGAGCAGTATTTAACCATGAAGCTCAGAGTTGAAGTAAACCTTACCAGCCAGTGAATCCTGTAATTCTCCAATTCTCTTACTTCACAGAGTAGGAAAACTTTAAAAACAACTACAATAACAAAGGGAGAACTGAGTGTTTCCTTTCATGTTCTACCTTTTAGATTTCCAGTTTAGCACGTTTAAAAGCAAATCACCATCTCTAGTAAAAGTCCATGAGCATGTTTGAAAAGCTGAATTTAGAAATAGCAAGTTGAAAATAAAATCAAGTAGCTGGCAAGAGCAGAAAGACGTTTGAGTGTGGGCGCCTTCGAGGATTAACGTTCAGCTGCATTTTTAAGGGTTTATGTATTTGCATATGATTATATATTTCCTCATGTAAAATCCCAACTCATATAGAGTGCATTAATGTCAAAGATTTCATAATTACAAAGTCGGTTGGCTCTAACACTGTAGAACATTCTCATTAACAAAATCCTCTGCGGAAACTCCCCATCAGATACAGCTAATATCGAGTGCTTAATCTGTGATTGCTGTTTGGTGGCATTTTCATTACTTGAGATATGAATTTCCTAAGTATTAGCTATAGATGGGATTCAGGGTTATTTTGTTTGTGAATGTCTCCTGAGGTCGTCTTCTAAATATTCTTAGGTATTCAGAATAATAGCAGGATAACATGTGTCAGCGCTGCAGAGCTGTGCTGCTTCCTCTGGTTGTAAGAAAGTCTAGTATCTCGACTTACTTGTATGACAGCAAGTGAGTCTTGTTGGATTCATTTCAGAAAACAATCAGATCGCGGACTCTCAGAGTAGGGAAGATGTGTCGTTAGTTACTCTTTTCCTTGTTTAGCTTTTGGAGCTCACGGTGTTGGAAATGTTGGAAACCAGCAGGAGGAACTAGAGCAGGAGCAAAGGGAGTCCGGCACAGGATTACCAACCTTGCGTGTTTCTAACTTAGGGCATCTAGACGTTCACTTGCCAACTCTTAAGACCGTCCTCGTGCCCAGGCTTTCTACTGCCGAGACATCTGAAAGCCAGACGCAGGTGCAAGGCCAGACATTTAGATGGAGCAGGCCCCACGGGGGAGCCCCCCGTTGCTCTGCTCCCAGTGGGTCTGAGGACCCGTGTTTGGAACATGCCTGCTCACCCCACCTCTCGGGCGATGGGGCACCCTGAAAGCAGGGCGAGCCCACCTGTGTGTCCCAGAGCAGCCTGGACACTCTAGTTTTTGAAAAGTACGTAGGCAAACCCAGAACCTCTCCTCGGGGTTGAGCTAACCATGTGGCTACCCTTCACGGCCACCCTCCCCGTGCGCGCCTGGTGGGGCGTCACGTGTGCGAGCCTGTGACCCGCTCCCCTGTCCCGCAGTCCGTTTCTTCTCCGGCACTGGACCCGGGCCTTCTGCAAGGCGCTCAGTGCTGGCACCGGCCACTGTCGGTGGCTGTGTAGGGTGCCCCGGCCGCTGAGTGAGCGCTTGACCTCCGGACGCGCCCTGCAGCAGCAGGTTTCCAGGACGGGCCGGCCGACAATGACACACACTTTCTCCCAAACCCGGCTCGCATCACCTTCCTTGAAACTGCGGTGATGTAAACTCGAGGACCGACTGATGAATTCCTATTAATCCAGAGTGACCCTAGCGCATTTGTTCATTCAACTGAATTAAAAAGATTAAATTTGCCCCTTTTAAATCCCCCTTCTGAATAGCGACCCGCTGTTCCCCCACAGCCGAAATGGTTGGAAATGTTTAGTGTGAGCAGTGCTTGTCCTCGTCCTTTGGTGTGCGGTGAAAATCTGATAAGCCCGTCTCCATCCAAGTGGCCGGCGCGCCTTGACCAGCATGGAGCGGCCAGCGGAGAACTCCCTGAGGAGAGGCTGGACGCAGCCCCGCGGTCTGCGTGCGCTTGAGTGCTTAGCCGGGAGCTTGCCCGCACACGGGATCTCTGAACCCCACTTCCTCCTACTTTGCTTCAAGCAATAATCCTTGCAGCTGCTAGCTGCATCACGCGCCCTCCCCGCGCCCTGCAGGGTGCCCCGGGGCTTCCCAGAACCCGGTGAGCCGCTGCTCGTGCGGCAGCCCCTCGCCTCGGAAACGTGCGATCAGCCCCCTCCGCTCTCGTGCCGCCACTGACTCAGAAGCAACCTCAGGCGCGTCACCATCTTCTCATTTTAATTGTTCCACAACGACACGCGTGTTTTGCCCCAGGCCTGACACCCCGGCCCCAGGCCTGCCTCTCCCCGGGCTTTCCCGTGGCTCTCGCCCTCCGGCCCCCAGGCCTCGACCTCCGCCTGAGGCACTGCCTGCTCCGTCCACCGGGACGCGGCGCGAGCGGGAAGGGCTCTGTGTGGGTGTTTCCTTCTCCCCATTTGACTCCTGTGATCAAATCTGCGTTCTCAGAGAGCTGAGACTGCCTGTCTTGCCATCCTTTGTCTCCAGAGTCTGGAACACGTCAGACGTGTGACTAGAGGAATCCCTTTATTAATTACCCATCAGCGGCACAACTAAGGCCACGCACCGATGAGGTTGCGGGGGACTGACCAGCTTTAAAACCCGCCGCCCTGCTGTTCAGGCCATTTTCTGGAGTTCAGCCTCTTGATCATCCATCTATAGTTTCTAGACTTTTTCTGTCCTTTTTTGCTACAGAAATCATAAGCTGTTGCCTCTACTCAAGCCGCTGTTCCGCTGTTAGAATAAATCACTTGTCAGTGATGTCAGATGAAGCAGGACAGTGACATCTTCTGGATGTCACCCCCGAGCGTTTTCATCATCACTGAAGAAAAAGGGCTGCCTGTGACCGCACTCTGTGGTATTATGGACTGTTTCCTCATTTTTAAACATAAGACTTTTTGGCTGAAATGGACCTGAAATGTCTCCTGATCTGGGTCTTTTTAAAGATGAGATTGGAGATTGGAGTGACAGTTGCTCACTGCTGTTCACACAGGGAATGGGTGGCAAGGCCGCCTGAACCCCAGGCAGGGCTCCCAGGACCCCCCAGACAGAACCCACCAGTCAGAGCCCCCCAGTCAGAGCCCCCAGGGGCCCCCTCCTCTGCTCCTCCTACCTCCTGACTTACAAGGAAACATCCCGACATCTCTGTCTCCCGTCACGAGGCTCAGCCCCACTGTGCCAGTTCCTGGCCTCACCCACAGCCGCTCCTGCTCCTGTTGTGTGGAGCATTTTAGAAAACTGGTTCATGCCACTCTGGTGACAGAATTTGGTAGTGCCTGTATTTGTCATTTAAACAATAAATTAATTCATATACGCAAAACTCGCCGTTTTAACCCACCGATGCCTCCGACCCACCCGCCCACCCGCCATGCACCACTGGCTGTGGGACGGCGCCTCCCTGGCTTGCACAGGCCCCTCCCGTGACGGTCACGGCGCTTTTGCTTGGAGGCCTCCCTGCAGCCTGCGCTTTTATCTGCAAACAGGCAGCCCCCCCAGCGCCCCATACCGAGTTAGTGTATTGCTAGAGGGCCCCCATGCCTGGCGCCTGGCAGGGTCGCAACGAGAATTGGGGACAAGCGCAGCAGTCATCAGTACCGGTGTGAGTTGCCAGGAGTTAGGGGCCCATCCGGGGGAGGGGGTACAGGTGCTGCCCCCGTGCGCCTGGGGAGACTGTCGGCATCGGGGGCCCAGCAGCCCAGCGAGAGATGTTCTGTGCCCAGCACGCCTTCATTCTGCCAAGTCTCCTGCGTTCTGATCCGGCCTTGTGCACCTGCTGCCGCCTGGGTGTGCCCCCAGCCTCCCTCCCCGGGAGAGCAGAAGATAAAGGCAGGAGGAGGGAGTCCTCAGCTCCTTCCCCCACAGCTTAGTGGGGAAGGGTCTGGAAGCTGCATTTGCACAGAAGGAAGTGCAGCCCCACCACCCTGGCCATCCACACCCTCAGCCAGCAGCCCCGCCTGAACCTGCCTGAGACCCATTGCCTAGCTCAGAGGCTGCTGTGCTCCCCCACGCCCGACGTGGGTCTCTGCAAGTGAGCTGCACCCCCCCCGCCCAGTACACGGCCCCAGCACCCAGTGACTCTCCCTCTTAAAAAGTCGGGAAGTGAGAGGTTGAGCTGCTAGGCTGTCTGCGCAGACAGGACAGACCGAGGCTCGCCTCCCACCTTGCCCGCCTCCGCTAAAACCCAGGTCTCTCCCCAGCGCAGCAGAGACTGGCAGCCCCTGGGTGGCTGCAAGGTCAGCTCCTGACCCGTGCAGAACCAGAGCCGCTGGCGTGAGGAAGTGAGGCCAGAACTGCTCTCCACCCGCTTTCTCTCCTTGTCTCTCCCTCTGTTCCCCTCCCTGCTCTGTCTTCTTAAAATGAGAATAAAAACCGAGACCGTGCTTCTAGGTGAAGTGGGCAGCGCTGGCTTCTGGGCGCCTGGGCCCTCCCGTAACGCTGTGCCTGGCACAGGGACTTCTCCCTGCCTGGGATTCTTCACCCGCAAGATGGGGTGAATGGCCCCTTTGTTGTGAGGGTCAAGCAAGAATACTGGCAAAACTCCCGCGCCCTTGCCTGGCACACACTGAGGGCTTAATGAGGTTTGCTGTGATTATGATTTTATTACAGCTTTATTACTCGGACAGAGGCTCGGCTGAGCTCTAAGTGAGTCACCCCATTTAGTTCTGAGCTCATCCCAAGGAGAGCGGGTGACCTCATTCCA